AAATTTAAATTCGAATTGAAGGGAATTTGAATGCAGTAATATTCATTCGAATAACTGATGCATTTGAATATTTGCACAAGTCTAAAGTCTCGTGGTTTCGGAAAGAAAGTTGCATGCATTCATAGTTAAATCTTAGGAGATCTCATCTGATCATCATATGATGTAGCAAATGCAGGCATCATTATGATGAAGACATCACCAACTGGAAAAAGTGCCAGCAAAGTGCCTATGCATTGTGTGCTGCAAGCTGGCACTAAAATACAAAACTGAGCTTCAACGTTTCAAGCTCTGATATTGTGTAATATTTTCAACGCTGCGGCCAAAATCGATAGTTCTTTGTAAGAAGGAATATGAGCTATACCTCTGCACTTTGAGATGTAGCACTCAGAGTTCAAAAGTAGTTAAGGAATAAGTGATTGTCCCACGTTTGCAATGTCTGTTTGCTAATAAGTACAGACTTCAAGAACAATTACTTGCCTTAAATACTTTTCGCTTCTAAATATACTCAGAGAACGGGAGGGAAAGGAAAGGCAGCGATGTTAAGGGGGGAGGCTACCTTCAAAGGGCAACTTTTTTGTTTGTTGAGATATCTTAATGAAATTTTCAGGGTACACTAATAGCAAAGCCATTTGAATAACCACAAAGTTTCATGCAGTTATGTTCACTGGTTCCCAAGTTACAGCCATTTATCCGGGTAGTCCACATGGGTCCCTTAGTCAGGGTCTGGAGAATTTGAAAAATGTGCTAGCACTGTGAAATTCACTATGATGATTCCTGGATAGGTGCTATAGGGCAAGACAGAGCCCTTTTTTTAAATTTCCTTGCCAAAAAATGTTAGCAGAGCACTGAATTTAGTGTTCACAATTTGGCTCTCATCAATGAAGTTTTAGTTAATTATTACAAATTACAGACACAATAAATTGAAAAAGCGGGCTTGTCTTGCCCTGGGCAATTTATTAAGGTGCATAATAAAAAAAACCTGATAGAAATCAGACCAGCAGTTCCAGAGAGATCACCTGACTAAGCAGCCTCACTGGCCAAAAAAGTCATTCTGAGAAAATTGACTTCGAAAGTTTCAAACATTTATTATGGTCTAGAATGACCCTGCAGAGTAGCTAGATGTGTCCTTAGGCTCTCTTTTTCTTTGCCGCTTTTCCTGCTTCTCATTCATCCGTTTCTGAGCCTTTCTCAGACGCAGAGAGTCTTTCTCCGCAGCTCGTTGAATGGTTAGGTGGCCAGGTGTGAGTCCCACTGATGACGACAACTCTTGGGTGGCCCTGTAGCAGCCGGCATTATACCGCAAAACTGCGTCATGCAGTGCTGTCTCGACAGCAATCAATGATGCATGTTGCTCCTTGGGCATCAAGGACCATAGGACAGAATGGAATGACTCCGATGCATTTTGCGTCTTTGCTCCCAGGCAGCGTTGCAGTAGAGAAGCCTGCGAAAGGCGCTGGTAGACTGGCAGCAGCGCTTCTGCAACGTAGCCCGGAAGATTGTATTTGTGCTTTGGAGGTGGCACGCCATTCCCCTTGCAGGCATTATGACGGCACCACGAGTCTGCACCTTCCGGGCACAAGTCATGGTGAGGATCCTCGTCAGTTGAGGTGACGTGATAATATGACGCCATCACTGCACGCTGCATTGCAGCCACATTGTTTGAATTGTTCCGCAGTGCCCAGCCATAATAGTCTGTGAGTTTATCAATAAGGGCTTTTGTCAATCTGCCCTTCCCTCCCAGAGCCTGTTCGCTTTTCTGCACAAGATTACGTAGGGCTGTGCCCATCCTCTTCCGGACATGGTTCAAGCATTCTTCTTTCACAATAGGGACTAGCCCATAAACATTGTCTTGTTGAAGGGCAGAGAATGTGGCACTGTCCCCATCGATACAATGGTTGTATACCGGAGGTTATGCTTGGACAGTGAACGTGAGAACAGAGTTACAGCTGCTTCAACCTCCATCCTCCCAGACTTGGCATCAGTGTTTTTTGGCACACATGGTGCTTCAACCAGCTTGCATAGCCCTCGTCTTCAGGCTTCGGTCCTACCTGGCAGCCGAGACACTGATTCGATAAAACTACAGCATCCAAGATGAGGCCTGTGTGATACTCGATGATTGCACCAACTCCAATGTGAGATGTATGTCCGCGCTTGTGCCACGTGCCATCATAGTTCACTGTAATGTCCTTGCAGAAAAATGGGTCCATCTCCTTGTACACCTTTTTCACAGCAGAAGCCGATTCTTCATAGAATTTATCCAGGGTCTGTTGCTGTGGTTCTCTGAATTGCTTCAGGTGCCTCTGGAAAGTTCTGTGGTGCAGGCCACGGTGGGAAACATTCATAGTTGGCCAAAAGTCGTTGAGGGCTGTCTGTCCCTTCCCTATTTGTTTCATGGCCGTAATGGCTCTTATATTCACGTCGAAGGCCCTTGACTCGTTCTGACGAGCAGAGCTCCACGAACTTGAAACTATTCCACAATGTGGACATACCAGCTCAAGCTTCGTGGCAAGTCCAAGCTGGGTGCCTCCTTGAACTTTCATCCCGGTCGCGAGGCAGCGCGGGCACGGGGTCTTGGACAGCATGTCGCTAAGGGCATCCCCTTGCACGAGGAAATATCTCTTGCCTTCGGTCGTAGCGGTGGCAGCTTCGGGTTCAGGCATCATCGCTTGAAACTTCCTCTCGATCGCTGGCATAGCGCCAAGCTTTCGTTGCACAGCAGCACGTTCTCTCTCCGCCGTCGCCAACTCCTCGCACGTCCGAAAACGTGTTTAGAAGTGCACAGTCGACGACGCGGTCTCACTGTTCGGGGCCGGAATCAATTCGGTTGGCGAGCGCGACACACCAGGCGCACTTGAGCACGAAACACCAGCCTCACTCGTCACGATGGATCCTTGTGCCGATGGTGTAGAAGTCTCGTCGCTAGAAGCGTCGACGCAATCGTCTTGAAAAGATGAAGCGGAAGCATCGGTGCAACTGTCGCCGCGCGTGGGCGTGCAGGTGAGCTTCGCCATGCGTACGAGCTTCAGCTGACGCTTTCTTGAACCGAACGCGTGCAGAGTCTTGAACTTCGAAATGCCCATCGTGACCGTCAGCGCAACAATCCGCGTCCCGTGAACACGGCGGAAGACCGTCTCGTGAGGACGGTAGTGATCGTCTTGTAAAGACGGTAGAAGATCGTCTCATGAAGACGGTGAAAGATAGAGGAGCACGTGTGACGACCGATCCGAATGATGGCAAACGGGGCACACAAAGAACGCCGGCATTGCAAGCGCCGGTGCAGACGACGAGCCGGCGCATGCCGGAGAAGCAGCTACGTCATTGCGCGCAGCAGCCAATAGGAGCCGCGAGTTCCCCCATTCCCTCGAGAGGCGCGCGCTTTGTCCAATCGCGGCTTCGCATCCAGGCAGCGGGACATTCGAAAGCTTCCGCGAGCCCCCCAATCGTGAGCGACTCCCGCCTCGGAGCGCCACCGCCACTGCCGCGGGTGGCGAAAAAAAAAAGCGCAAGAATTCACGAGCAAAACAACATCAAGATGGCGGCGATCGGCCGAGCGGTTGGGAAATGGCGAGCGCGCGAAGTTGGGGTATTTTTGGCGCTCGCTCGCCGCTTGCCGGCTGCCGCGGCATGTTATAAAATTTATTTGACGTACTTTCGCGATGAATTAGACATTGATATTTACAGTAGAGGCAGTTTATGAGTCATACTGCCCGAGTATGTGGTTTTCAAAAAATCGACTTTTTCGCAATTTTTCGGTTTTCAAAGGGCGCGTCCCCCCTTTTAACCAGTCTAGAGTGACTGATATGCTACCCTTCACAGGCGAAATGGGTGGGGGAGATCGAAAGATGGAGAGAAATGGAGATAGAAGAGCACGTGCACTCAAAGTCGCACATCACAGTAATCCTAATTTTATTAGTCTATAACCGCCAGTTCAAGTCCCTTGCCTTGAAGAAGCTGAGGACTGCGCTCGCCATGACCTCTCTGGATGACATTCCAGAATGGTGTCCACCCTCATTGGTCTGCAATCTACCCAAGGTAGCGCTGCTTCAAGTGATTTTCTCTGCACATTGTAACGAGGAAAGTTGCAGAAGATATGCTGTAATGGTCTCTTCACTACCACAGTTGTCACAGAAAGGGTTGGTGGCCATTTCGATACAAAATGAGAAAATAAGTGAGCTAGTAACGAGGATTCTTTACTGGCCATTTACTATAGAAAGCATGAATGAGGTTACTAAGTTTGTCTCAAAAACTTCTCCAAAATCATCGTAATAATGGTAACATGATTGTGGCATGCCGGGAAGCTTGTGCTTGTGGTCTCCATTTGGCTGTCAATTGATGTGTTAGTTCTGACACTTGGCTGGAAGCCAACTATCGGACAGCTTCCATATTGGACAGCTAGCCTCTGGCCACTCGTGTGACAGCGAACATTCAAAAACTAAACAAAAGCTGAGTGCATGTGGGAGTTCACCCATCTTTGAGCAAACTGCGCACCAGACAAGACGCAAGGAAAGGACCAAATGAGACAGACGAGTGCACACTCGCAACTGAGTCGTTCAAAGCGTTCAAAGCAAAAGGCAATGTGTCGCAGTCACAGTTTATCAGCGTGATATAAAAATGCACACACACACACAATAAATGAAAAACATACAAAAAACAGTCGCATGTGTAAGGCCACATAAGTCAACAGTATCATGTGGACCGCAGCTACAGTATGCACACTCCTTATCTGACAGACTTGTGGAAGGTTCAGTGACACACCCTTCTGCCTTTATCCTAATTTGCAAAGCCTGTATTATTCTTCGGCCTGCACCGGATTTACAGAAAGTGGGATTTAGTACCTGCTCTCTTTGGGCAGTTTGCTATCCTTACCAACTCGCTCAGCTTTCAAGGCTTGTTACAGATAATTTTCGCATGTTGTTTCAATGAGAGACCTGCTCTTGCATTGTTCATGTTCTGCAGGCTTTTGTCCCCGATTGTACCACGCTTTCCTCTCTCCCTTTCAGGATGAAATAGCGGATATTCTGCTCAACTATAGTGAAGTGCAGCGGCTATACGATGAGCTGGTGCCGGGGGCGGTGCCGCACGAGGAGTTCTGGCAGCGCTACTTCTTCCGTGCTTTCCAGCTGTGGCAGGCCGAAGAAGAGCTTCTCAACAGCGTCCAGGAATCCAGTGAGCGCCTCTCCATCAGTGGTGGTCAGTGTTGTCTTTAACTGGGTCCCAAACCACTTTTCCAAGTACCGTTTTTACTCGCATAATGAACGTACTTTGAACGTACTTTTTTTTTTTCTGTGCAAATCAGAACAAAGTTGAGGGTGCATTTACTATGCCCGGCAAATCTTGTGAAAATTTTTTTGGTATGAGCAAAAAAGTGTAATGCAAAAAAAAAAAAAGGAAAAGTTAACTCGCTTAGCCTTTTGTAATTGACATATTTTACACTGTTTGGAAACGGCTTTTGTGTTGCACATCTCTCATCTTCAGTTGTGGAAGGTGCTATCTTCTGCAAACTGCCCCTGCACCACCCATGCACTTCATAAAAGCATTTCGCAGCTTTCTTTTCTTGTAATTGTTTAGCCACAACAATGGTATCTGTTGTAATTTCGAGGGGCGCCCATAAGCGTGAGCTGCAACGCTACAACGTACTTTGCGAACTTCATGGCAACCTCGCACAATGACTGCGAGGCCACCATAGACATTGCAACAAGTAACCAAAATTGCTGCAAGCTACCACCGAAGCATCAAAACAAACCGTCTATAACAAGGTCAGTGACAAAATACGGCTACCGCCTCGCTGTCCACATCAGAAGTTACTGTAGAAAAGGTAGCTTATATCTCTCATTCCTTGAGTACACGCAGTTAAAAAGAATGAAGAACAAGTTGCAAGGGAAGCGAATATTGGGGGTGCTACCTTGTTGCAAAAATTTTCACTTTTTTTTTTTTTTTTCTGGCCAACAAGCTATCTTTTTCGGGTTTTCCAGAACCCTGCAACGCGATGGCGACGAATGGCCTTTCGTGACAGGCGCGGCGACAGGAAATCCTACCGTCGTCGCTCGAAAATCGCATGTATGTGGTTGGGCCTTGAAGTTTCGTATTTGCAGAAAGCGGCGGTGGGTTGGCGCGTGCAGTTTCGGGACCTTCGCTCGCTGTGTGCTTGTCAGCTGCGATGTCTACACTTGCGCTGTTGGTGAACACTGCTGTGGTGCACAGATAATTACAAATTTTGGGGGCTTGCCGCGCACAATTAGAAAAGAGGGGGAGGGAAGATGGTGGGAGGGAGCGTGCCGAGGTGGCTGAGGGGCGTCGGCATTATAATGAAGAACGGAAGAGATCCAATGAGAAGGGACATGCCAGGTGTCGGTTACTTGAACTGCAGTGGATGAATATCGGGGGTGTGTTTATTACGCAGGATAAAAAAAGCAAATTTTGACGACTGAAGTTTTAGGGTGTGTTTATTGTGAGAGTGCATTCATTGCGCGAGTAAATTCGGTAATCGTTGACTGATGTCACTGTCTTGTTTTATTGACTCTCAAATCAATCGAAGCAAGCCGTACCATGCTCGTGTCCCATTCGCAGCACTTAGAGATATGATAGGCTTCATATTTAGGTGGGCTTTTCCGTCGCCCATGTTTTGTTGTTTCTTCTTGTCTTTTTCTCTGTGCACAAATTTGCATTTCCTGAGCTCACTTTGCATCGTGTTGTCCAGTGGATTCTGACCACCTGATGGAAACCTTAGTGGGGCCCGGCTGCCGGTTTCTGGGCTCTCGGCCCTTGGTGGTGCCCCCCAATACGCCCAACGCTCCATCGGCTGAGCAGAGTGGCTCCAACTCACCCCAGCCCGCAAAGGCAGTCTCTTCCCCCGCCGGAGACGCCGGATGCGACGTGCTGGGCACATTGACCCCGGAAGAGGGAGGGCAAGATCAGGACATCGAAAGGACGTTACCCAGCTGTTCCTTGAAGGTAATTGGCTAGGTTGCACGTGTGGTCAGATGTTCGTTGCTTTTCTTTTGATTAAATTAGGAAATAGAGAAGGTAGTGGCTTGCAGTAGGGTTGAAGAAGTTTGAGGAGCAGTAATGGGTGTAGCAATAAGTTGTGGGTGTAGGGGCAGGAGCGGCACACATCCGTCATGGGATTTACCCACAGAAAGTGGGTTAATCCCACTACAGTCTATGATGACTGCCCCGAACATAAAAGCCTCAAGGATGAACAGCATTGCTGTTAAAGTAAGTGTAAGAAATAAAATGATTGATTGATTTATAACACCTAGAAACAATAACTGGTCAACCTTGCTGGGCATTGTATGCACACGGTCTCCGGAACTAATAGAGAAAACAATGGTGGAGAGGGAGACCACCACTAAAAAAAAAAAATGCTAGCTTCAAAGCCGGCCGAACAGTTGTTTTCTGAAACAGGGACAGAATGGGTCTCGAAACGTAAGTCCAGTTTTTACAGTCGAATCCTGCCATGACGAAGTCCGCTTCAATGAAATTTTTGCCACAACGAAGATTTTTAGAATCCCCGTCGAAGTCCCATATGGTATAATGCTTTGAAATTCCCTCCAGTATGAACTTCTTCACGGCAGCGATTACACTTCAACAAAGTTTTTGTGGAACAAGCACGGGCGAAATTTTTCGAAGTAGAGCTTATTTAAAAATCTTGAAAGTGTTTTTAATGCCTTACCAAACCACGGACCTTAAGGGGGGAGGTGGCATTGAAAAAAAACCTTTTTGCTTGTTGACCTGGAGCAATGAAATTCGGCATGCATTCTCATAAGTGTCTTGGGTAGCAAAATATGCAGTTTCATCATGATACCTTGAGTAGTTTTCAAGTTTCATCATGCTACGTGGTTTGACTTGTGCGGTCTGCTCGTGGAAAGCCTAGCGCTGTAACAAAACATGCCAGGAAGCTGCAGATGGTGTTGATCTGTACTCAAAAGAAGACTATTGGGTATGACAATCTCAGAATTTCTTTCATCACTTCTCTTATGTTTTATAGAGATCATCATGGCTCCCTACACATTGTGAGAAGCAGTGTCATGTACAAGTCATCTTCCAGAAAAAAAACACTGAACCATAAACAAGAATTATAAGATTGTCAGACCCTCAAGAAATGTTTTGGGATTCAGAAAAAAAAAACTGCATCAAAATCCGTCCAGTCATTCCCGTGCTACACTTTTCACGAGCAGTACACAATGTCCAAAAACACTTGCGAGAAAAAACCTGTCGAAGTTTTCAACTGGATTTTTTCGATGAACTTTCTTGTTTCTCATTGGATGTAGATGAAAATTGGCACAGACTCTAAGAATGACCACACAGTGCTTACATAAAAATTTTGAGGCGATACCACACATACTTTATGAGAGAAAAATTATTTCTTTATTGAACCTCATGGAGGGGCTCAGCGTCATATCAAAAAGACAGTATTTAAAAAACTGCATTTAAAGTTTCAACTTTTCTTGACGTCTCTAAAACACCTAAGAATTGTGATCTCAGGTTTGTCTTGTGATATTCGACTTCTCAGGCATGTTATCCGCCCAGTGTGTTTTTTATTAACGTAATTAAGTACTTGATTACAAATAATCACTAAACATTCTTTTTATATACAGAGAGGTTTATTGCATTAAAAAAAATGGCTCACACCATGACAGCCTATGCCTTCTTTTCAAATAACAGTTATGGGCAGGAGACGGCCATATAAATATTCGTGCCACTGCCTCATTTAACATTTTTTGCCACTCTAGCCTTGAAACGCATCATTATACGGCCGGTTGCGGAAACGCTAATCTTCAAGGCTTTCATTGTATCAGAACATTCATAGACGCTCGTGGCGATACCAAGCACAGCTCCAGGCACGTCTAAATCGCATCACAAAAGCTTATTGAGAGCACTCCATACGATTGTGAAGTGCGTGGGCCACGTGGACAGTGCAGCAAACGCGTGATGCACTTGGCGGCGGCGTTTGGTGACGGTGTGTGTGTGAAATGTGTAGCTACGATGACAAAAAATCGCGCTTGGTATCGCTTGGTATCGCATTTTCGAGTCATGACGCGCGAAACTGCTAGCCACTGTTCCGAGCAATCCATGACAGTGAGGGGAGGGAGGGGGTGACGAGTTAGCTGTGTGGTCCGCTGCCAATGAATAAAATGCCCATGCGCAGTTCTGAGGAGCTAGCGAGTGATGTGCTTCATTGCTTGCGAAGAAGTACGTTGCCACAAATGCGCAAGCGTGTCATTCCTGTCTGCAGTCTCGCTATCAGCGGAGTTAGGGCTAAAGACGACTCCGATGACGCGCTGCGCTCGCTCGTAGTAGCCTGATCACGTATCCGCTTGCGGCTCCTAACTGAATTGTAATTATATCATAAGTGATCATCGAGCCGTGAACATGTCGCGAAGTAGCAATTTTCGAGAGCCATGTCCTCGCGACGCACAAGCGGCAGACGACGATCTCCTGGAGCCAGCATCGGGCCAATGGCGAGGCGAGCTATAGCAACATGGCAACCACAGCCAATCAGGGGCCTCGAAACGACCTTCAAACATTAGCTTTTTGTGCGCTTGTTTTAAAGGGAGGAGCCAGCTGAGGGTGGAATTTAAACACAAAGAAATGCTTTTTCCGTTGAGCCCAAGCCGGCTCCTGGCCCGCCATCGCGAAGCCATAATTTTTTGAAAATTGCTGTTTTCTCGTGATTTCCAGAAAAAAAAGTTTCGCTACCTAGGATGGTGAAATGAATTTTCCCAAGCACTTCTGCGCGGTTTACAGTGTAGATGTTTTGGAATCAGATAGACAGATAGAAAAAGGGTTCCAGAAACAGAAAATTTTATTTTCAAAAAATCAATTTTTTGGGCATTTTTCGTGATACCAACGCCATGTCTCTCCTCAATAACATAAAAATAAAAGCACATGAGAAGCTGCTCGGAGCAAACGTACCGCACGCGAAGTAGACTTGTGCAATGTAAATAAAACAACATGCCACGGTATATGATGATCAGTGATGGGGACGCAACATAGGAAAATAAAAGGAAACGTGTTGCATCGTGTCGCAGGTCTTTCGGTCATTGTTTCGCAAAGGTTTGTTGTCGCGAATCAGCCATGTCTCGGCAGGCAAAGAAGCACACAAGTTCTTGTCGCTCGAAGACAAGGCTTGCGTTATCGCCGAGCCTGACGCTGGGAGAAAGAAGTTTCGAATTGTTAAAGAGTTGGGGATTGTGGCGAGCTGTGTTTCAACTATATTTGAGAGCAAGGATGCCATAATCAAAGCTCTTTCTTCAAGAAGTTGACACAGTGAACGCGTGAAGCCTTAGACAAGGCTGTCTACACCTAGTTTATTGAGACGCAAGCCAAGAAAATTGCCCTTAGCGGCAATATTGTGTGACAGAAAGCGCTGAATTTTGCCTGCGTGCTCGGCATCAACGATATTAAAGCCAGTGCAGGTAGGCTGAACCGTTTCAAAGCCTGCCACTATATTATCGGCAAAGTTTTGTGCGGTGAAGCTGTTTCGGCGGATACAGATGGTGCAGCCGCATGAATGTCGATCAGCCTTGGCAGCATCCTGACGGACTACGCACCGTCGAATATATAAAATGTCGACGACACAGGCCTCTTTTACGAGATGCTTCCTAACAAGACTTTGGATTTCAATGGGCAACGCTGTCACGGAGGTAAGCACAGCAAAAAAAAGGATAACCGTGCTTCTGTGCGCCTATATGGATGGCTCAGATAAGCTGCCTCTTTTGGTTATTGGGAAAAGCACGAAACTACGCTGTTTCAAGGGAAATCGGCGCCTTCCAGTGAGGTACGTGGCCAACAGCCAGGCGTGGATGACCCGTGAAAATTTCGGCGACTGGGCCAGAGAATTCAACCGGGACATGTGCAGGCAAAGCTGAAAGGTGTGTCTGCTTTTAGACAATTGTTCCCCGCATGCCATTGAGGACGTGGAGCTCAAAAATGTGCATCTTGAGTTCCTGCCCCCGAACTGCACGTCATTGTTCACCCGCCTGACCAAAGAGTCATCCAAAGTGTGAAGAGCTATTACCTCAAGCGTCTAATTCAGAGGCTGATTTTGAACACTCGGCTTGAGTGCGAGACGTACGATTGCTGGTTCGTGATGCAAGACGGGGAGCGCTATAATTGCGAACCGCTTTCGCCATGCTGGGTTCACTGTGGAAAGGGCCGAGACTTAGGGTTCTGCGATTGAAGCTTGCGATGAGGACGAATTGCCTGTCGAAGAAATCGCAGTCGCATGGGCAGACCTGCAAGAAAGTGATGTGCCTGCCGATGTGGATCTTAACGAGTTCCTCCAAGCCGACTCGGACTTGGTGGTGTGCGAGGAAATCACTGAGGAAGATATCATAAAGTGGGTTCAGGAAGAGAGTGCTTTGTCAGACGAAGATAAGATAACCACGCAATGCGATTCCATGATACCATCGACTTCGTTGATGCTCGATACATTCGACATCATCAGGCGTTGCATCGGGGCACAGGACGATGACGAAGCAATGGCTCTGTTGGGGGCGTGCGAAATTCGTGTAGTGCCGTCGCTTGGCAAGAAGCGAAAACAGGCAAAGTTGACCAAGCTTTGGAATTAAAGCTTGTTTTTGAGTAAGCGAGTCGAGTGTCGCGTAGGTATTTTACCATATCGCAACAACGAATTTCTACATCAACAAAATTTTTCGTCCGCCCCCATCAATTTCCTTGTAGTGGGATTCGACTGTACTATTAAATAAAGAGTAGACATGACTCTAGAGTCTTTTCATTCGTGTAATTTTATTCCCCAACCTTGACCGATCACTTGTCAAATATGTTTGCCTTTATAGGCTATGAAGTTCGGCGGCAGACATTGGAAAAACCGTGCTATCCACACTGCAGTTAGATGCAGTAGCTACTTTGTTGCTAAAAAGGCATGGAAACACAAGCCACACCAAGTGGCCATGTTTGACTTGGACCAGATGTTTGAAATCGTGTAGTCGTAGCTCGACATAAAGAATACGGATGTAACGAATTTACAGTTGCAGTCGCCAACCAATTTTTCGGACCTGGCGGGTACTGCGAAATATTTTGAAAAATCGAACAATTAAAAAAAATGGTCACGTCATCAAAATGAAGTTTATTTGGATTAGAAAAGCCTAGAAAAAAAATCCCCAATAATGCCATGCTTCTTGCTGTTTTAGGGGACGGGTAATTTTGGTTCTGTTTGGGCTACGGTAACATTGTTGGCAAGAGCGTTGGCAATTGCTACTGCCGACCGTTGCGGGCGGCAGAGTTGGTGGCCCCGTGGAACCGAGCAAAGCAACTTGATGCCGGTCGCAAAAAGATGTGTGCAACATCTCACCTGTTCAGTGGGATTTAACAACATGGTCTGGGCTGAGCTTCTTTTACCTGCACCAACACCGCACAGTACGTGAGCCTCCAGCATTTCGCCACCATCAAAATGCTACCATCACGGCCTTTGTTGAACTTGCGTGTTCCATGTCGGAAGCCAAGCGCCGTGACCACAGAGTGATACTGAGCAATCCCGAACAGCAGTGAGCATGTGATGCGCACGACGGCTCAAATACACTTGGCACACCGCTAACATGGCCACATCCGCAATGACCATAAAATCAAATGCCCAGAAAATAAAAACAACCTACCGGCATATTAAGGATGATGATAAGGCTGATTGAAAAAAAGTTTTGCTAGCCAAGGAAGATCAAACATGGCCTCAAAAACTGGAAGATTGTGCGCGCTTCCATTCTAGGAGGCCACACAACTAACCACCGCAAGTGAAACTCGACCAAGCCAGCAAAAAATCCGACATGGCGACTTTCAGAATTGAGCGGCACAGCTCAAAACAAACGATTTAGTCTGGAAAATTGAACATAGGAACATAAATTCGTGCGAAAAATCAGTCGCGAAAATGCATTAGTGCAATGGGAACCTTAACGGTGAATTTGTGAAGTCCGACATATCGAACAAGTCCGAATTTTCAAATCCCGAGAAATACATTGGCGATTATATAGTGAAGTAATTAGCAACCGCGTTCCCATTCTTGCAGTGCTGCAAATATAAGTTTACAACGAATTGCTGAATACAATGGAGCCATTGTCGTGCCTTGTGCGACTTTGTTATTGCGAGGTGTTCTGTATTATGCTTTGATGCACCCTAGCTGAAGTGCATCATAGACACTTCAGTGTGTGTTTGCACAGACCAGTAAGTTCGCAGAAGTGATTGCATCTTTCACATAGGTGACCACATGTTTCACGGCATTGTTCACGTTACCATGATACTCCGACCGGTATGCTTTTCGTTGCTGCAAAGAAAACGGGCACCGTAAAATTGGTTGTCAGTGTCTTTATTTGCCCTTCAGCAAGCGCTCGAAGCCGGCGTGCTGGACCCTCATCCCATTTCGGCTGCTGAGGTGCTGGCAGCCAGGCTTTCGTTGCAAGTCGAGGCAACGACTGAGGCGGATGACGCATCTGAGCAAGAGACGGGTGCAGTAGCGGACGCCAGTGAGTCGGCAGTTGGTGCCGAAAAACAAGTTGCCCAGAGGGTTCCAACAACAGCAGAAGCTACAAAACGAGATGCAACATCCGCTGCACCAACCGATGCGAGTGCAAGGGCTCCTGGTCCTGGTTCAGAGTCATCGAGTGGGAAAGGTAAGGAGGGCCTTTGCGCCTATACTAATACGTACCATATTTTCTAACGTGTGACACGCATAAAATATAGAGAAAATTCGTGGCTAAGTTGAGATGTAGAATTATAAGTGAATTATGGTGTTAAGTTTGCTTCACTGCACTGTTTTATGGAAACACAAGGGAGGCAGCTTTGCAACAATACATGAGGTTTCATGTTTTTATATATACCTTTCTGTGCCTTGTGTGTGGGGTCGTTGGTATATGCAGTGGTAGGTTATGTGTAAGAAAATCATTTAGGTGTCTTATTTCACACGTGACACACACGTACTCGCACAGTGCTCTAGGCCTGACTCGCACATGGCTGATGCACTCTGTCTACTTAAGCATAGTGAGAAAGTGTGCATTTGTTGTTTCTTTAATAATGTCATGGTCTCTATAAGTGCCAAAAGGTTGCATGTTAAATACATGCAAATACACTGATTCTCTTTTGCTGATGTACAGGCACTGAGATTCCCAAAAGATTCCCAATGCAGTTAATATAACTTCAGAGCTATCTAAACATATGGCTGTGGTGATCTGAACCTTTGTGAGCAGTAAAGAAAAAAAGTTGCCTTTTTGTGTTTAGTATGCAGGTTTTCTAGTGGTTTCAGAGTCCATAGTGTATTAAGAAAACAGACAGTGTTATGTAAAACTTCCAGAAACCAAAATTGTCAAGCGTGCTGTCAATTTCGTTGCAGTGGGATATGATTGTATTCAAGTACTCGCACACCACCAGTTATCTAACTAGCGTCAGTTGCGTCTTTACATTAAAATGTGAATGGATAGCGTGTCGTACGATATGCCCATACAGTCGAACTCCGCTACAACGAATGCCGCTTCAACGAAATTCCCGCTACAACGAAAAAGTCATGATTCCTTGTCAGCAGCTCATAGAAGTCAATGCACAAATATTGTCGCCACAACAAACACTTTTTCTTCAGTCATCCCGCTTCAACGAAATTTTACGATGCAATTAATTCCAGGCTCAGACACTTATTTTTATGCAGTAAATCCAATCTTTAACATTTCGATGCATTTTCAAAGCCTGAAAATGTGTCAACGAAGTCTAAAACACGCGTTGGCACCACCGAAAATTGCCGCTACACCTTTGCTGTTCAGCAAGCATGGACGCCGCCATTGCTCGATAGCGACGACAATGAGACTGCCCTGCTTTTGCCACTGGCTTGCTTTGAGCCACGGGCGATACGAAGCTGAAGCTCAGTCGCTCAATTTATGGTTTCCGCCACGCAGCTGCTGGGTGCAACTGCAGAACGATGCCTTTTTTCAATTCCTATGCTTATCATTATGTTCACACTTTGCGAGTGCGTTAACTAATCACAGCGTCGGTTTGTCCGCATTATCAACAAAATCAGCTAACCACGTGTGATGGATAATAAGAATGGCATAGAATAATGCAAAAGTCGCCGCTCCACGATACCCTGCCTCCATTTTGGCGTTATCGCATACTTTTGATGGCGGACAGCTGCCGGTGTTAACGTGTTAATGCAACTGTTTGGTTCGCTAACGAAGGCAATTCTAGGCATTGTTTCAGTGTGCTTTTCACCGTAGCGTTGCTATGAATTGGTGATAATCACATCGCGACGTTGCTGGGAAACAATAAGAAGCAGCAGACATTTTTTGAATTTTGAGAATAAACGTTCCTTTGTTTTGCTAGCTCAGATCAGCTATATATTTTTCGATTTCACTACAACAAAATTTTCGCTTCATTGAAACTGTCTCCGTGCTCTATCAGTTTCATTTAGCTGGGTTCGACTGTATACCTGAACATATCCTTGGCACCTGCAAAACAAGTGTAATGGTATAATGGAGCACATAATATTGTCACCTGTCAAATAGCACGCAACAGCATTTTCGGTTGCTCTGTAGTTGGCATTTGAGAAATTTTCAGCTTTATTTCTTGTAATAGTACACAGTACTAGGCTGGGGTGTCAGCCATCTTCTTTATTTCTAACCTCTCCTTCCTCCTCGTCTCCTCCCAACCCTGCCTCACGTCCACGTACACTCCCCCTCTTTGAAGACTCATCCCTCCTGGGGTGATACTTGAAAACGTTTCCAATGGTCGCAAACTCCAGCACACCATCATTGTTGGTGTAACCGACCCTTTTGAGAATTCCATGTTGCACTGCAATCTGCACCACGCGATAAGGTCCCATGTACACCTGCTTTGTGCCGGGAAGGCCTTTTCTGACAAGCACCAGATCGTTCAGTTGTATCTGAGGTATCCACGTGTTGTGGCGACGGTCAAAGTTCCTCTTCATACTTTCCCGGTATCGCTGGTAGGCTTCCGAAGGTTTTCGTTTTTCGCACAATTGCAGGCGGTCTGCAATGCAAAGTTCTTGATCAGCAGGAAGCACTGGTACCTTTCCGAAAGCTGCAAAATATGGACTACAGCCGATGCTCGTAGTGTGCGACCGATTGTGATGAGCGACAGCTGCCTCCAAGCAGCACTTCCATCCACCCTGAAAACCGGGATACATTGAGATGAACTGCTTCAAATCCCGAATGATTCTTTCAGCCATGCCATTTCCTGCAGGATGGTACGGAGCGCAGCGTCGCAATACAACTCCTCGTTCCTTCGCCCAATCTTGCAAACGCTGACCGAGAAACGCTGGCCCGTTGTCTGATATTACTATCTTCGTATTCTTGAACATCTCCCGACTCAAAAGAGCGATCACACTATTTGCGTCTTCCCTTCCCGGCCGTGCAGCCACTATTCTTGTGCACTGGTCTATTGCCACTAGGAAAGACTGCGTTCTTCTTACTCCAGCAGCCTTCTTCTTGAGCTCTGCGAAATCCAGATGAATGACTTCAAATGGTACGTTGGAATGTTGAGGCAAAACCATCTCGTCTGTTCTCTGAAGGTACTTGGCTTTGTTAACTTGACATTGATGACAAGACTGAGCGTACCTTTGAACGTCCTCTTTCATGTGTTTCCACTGGAAACGCTGACGAATCTTCTGATATGTCCTCCAAAAGCCGTCATGTCCACCTGAGTGCGGGGAGTCGTGATAGAGCTCCAAAATTCGAGGCACCATTGTTTCTGGGACTGTGAACTTTCCGTTATGGAACTTAAGTTCTTCCGTTCCCTCCAACAACAATGTTGCGTTGACAAAGGATACGGGTGTTGCAGTAGGTCTCCAGCTTGCAAGCGGGCGTCGTTCCTCAGCTCGTGTGGCCTCGGTATTCCTTACAGCAGGTGTCATGGGTGGACGTTGGGTTCCTAGGTCCTGGAGGTAGAGGTTTCGCATTCCCTGCAGAAGTTTTTCGACCGTCTTGGGTCCTCGCATTTGTATTTGCTTCTGGAGGTCCACACTTAAACCATGAATGATAAGCGGAACCACAGACGTCTCAGGCAAAGATGAGTCCGCCAGCTGTAGCAAGCGCCTTTTCTCATAAAAATAGCTGAGTGCAGATCCAGACCTGTATTTGAACGTGATTGCTTTGTCCCATAGCAACACCTTGTTCTCGCTGAAGGAGCTCGGAAAGCTTGCTTTCCACTCTGTCCATGGTTTGTTGCTGTGAGCGTTGAGACGCCATTTGTACCAACTCTTTGCTATGCCCGATAGGAATAGTCGCATGTTTTTCACTTTATCTTCGTCGCTGTACCAGTAGTTTTCATTGCATGCATACTCGTAAAACGTGAACCAGGACTCGGGGCTACTAGACTCTCCGTCAAACATGTCTGGCTTCACTGGTTCGCGACTCGGTCTGCTTAATCTTTCCGTCGTGTTTACAAGCAAGCGCATTAAATCATTTTGCTGCCTATTCTGTTCTTGGTGCAGTTCAAGAAACTTGTTGATCAGCTCGATGGAACTGTCAGGCGAAGCAGCGGTAGCAGGCTTCGCGTCGTTTCTTACTGGAGTCAGCACGAAATTCTCATAATCCTGAAGTTTCATGTTGATCCTCACCGTTCTTTTAGCAAGTAAATGGTCTGGGGCTATCTTCATTTTAGTGCTTATATAGGAAACAAATGCGTCAGTGCTCACTGCTTCCGGAAGAGCTAGTTCCTCTTCATCTTGAAGCATTGCGGTCAAGATCCGGATGCCACCGCGTTGATTTGCTCCAATGGTGAAGTCCACCCACATCTTGAATATCCGCACAGAAAGTATACGTGGCTGCGCCAATTTGTAATAGTACACAGTACTAGGCTGGGGTGTCAGCCATCTTCTTTATTTCTAACCTCTCCTTCCTCCTCGTCTCCCCCCAACCCTGCCTCACGTCCACGTACATTTCTCAATGAAAGCACTTGAGAAGTCGGCATTTTTGGGCAGGATATAGTGCATCTTCTATGCGCATTATTGCTCTGAATGCCCCTTGAGGCACCACCACGTGGCGGTGGTGGTGCCTTTGTGATCGTCACTTTTGGGCCTAACTGTGCCTTCAGTTACATTTAATAAATGATTGGTTACTGTATTGACTTGTATTCGATGATGTAATTATAGAAAAAAAATATGACCCTTAATGTTAGCCTACTGATCAAGTTGCTACAATAAGCAGCTGAGCGGTGCGTGTACGAGTTGCAGCGGCCGTGCCTGCACACCCGGGTTTTTTCTGTCTCTTTGGCACTCTGTTCCTTCAAGGAGATCTCTGCATGCTACTCTCCCCCGGTGGTGGTGTTTGCATATACCAAATCGCACAGCTTCTACCTCGGTTCTATCTATCGATAGAGAGAGAGGAACATGCAAGGAAAGGCAGGGGGGGTATTTCTGCGCCCTTAGAGTTTCTAATGAACATTGCTGAAGGGAACCAGGCGTACTGATAGTTCGACTACACTCCGAAAAAGATCTTTGAAGCTTTTGGGGCTTGCCCCGAAGAGTAATCATTGGTATAATGGTCTCACAACATGCTTTGATATAAGTGTAGGTGTTGTTGGCCAAGAGGACACCGTTTCTACCTGAATCTGATTGCAAGAGGAATCGAGTTTGTCTTGGACCAGTGGCTCTGTGGGTAAACTAAGGGGAGGGGCAGGAGGGAAAGGGTTTTTTTTTTCCTGCAAAATTTACTCTTTTTGTGAATTTTCTGAGATCTCTAGCTAGTGTTCAGACAATTATTGATCGGAAAAGAAAACCATCAAACTCGTGCTAAGGCAGTGTCCAGTCCTTTGCCACAATTAATGTTTTCATTGTAGCGGGCACACTCCTCTCTATAACAGTGCACACAAGTTATGACTTTTCATACAAACTCGACAGATTAATTATGTAAATGTTCTATCATCTTTCTTTTTTTCTTTTTAAAGACACCTTTTAGATTTACTGTTTTTTGCGACTGTGTTCATTATAACTTCTCTCTTATCGGGCGATATTCGTCAGGTCATCGCGTTGTCACTGAACGGCTTGATTTGCTTTGTTAGTACCTTTTCATTACTTGACACACTTTGCAAATTCTTACAACTTCAGCACTGCCTTATGGGATTATGACCACAGCCCAATGTTGTTGTTACGTCTTCTGTTTAACTGTTCCTCGTGAGTTGCTTGTGGCATGTGTGCTTTGTCTACAGCACGTCACTGCTGCCTGTTTTGTGTTTGAGTTTAGACTAAATAACTGTTCAATTGTCATCTCTCGCTGCATCGTGTGAATCTTTCATTGATTGCTTCCTCTGTAAACTACTCCTTGGCTACATACGAGGTTGGTCATTGCTTAAGCACTTCACTCCTTATTTCCCACTTCAGCTCCTCCTTTTGTGCCAAATATTTTCCGTACCTTGAGTGCTTTTTCGTGCATTTTCTCTAAATTTTGTAATTATCATCATTATTAGTATCATTTCACCTTGTTGATAATGCCGGCTGCGCATCTTTTCAGTCAAAAGTCTTAGTAGATACTTGTATTAGTGTTGGCTTCAAATGAAACTCAAACAGCAGCAGACATTCACTATGATATAACGCGTGCCTTCCCGTCATCAACACGGACAGGTGCGCACATCTGCACATATCCGTGCCTGTCCATGCTGATGCTATTCACAATGCCATTGTAAATCCTTTTAGCTGTTCACGTTTAGTTTGACGCTAATGTTATGTCGATTTTATTGCTGATTCCATCATACATATCATGCCATTTGTCCATATGTTTTGCTGAATTCATCAAAGGTTCATCACCCCTCCCCCCCCCCCCCCCCCATTATGCCTATGTTTGGGGCTGACTTCATTCCACCCCCCCTCTTGAGTAACTAGGGGTGGGGGCGGGCCCCCTGTGTGCACGTCTATGCTTGCAACTTCCTAGCAACTTGCCTCTCCAGTCATGCGATATTGATTCCCTGGAGTTTCACTTCTCTGAATCTGTACCTGTTGTAGGGCTAATTGTTGCCTGTTTTCTGCTCCATTAGTTGTAGTGATCCTCCCAACCCTAATCAGTTGCCAAAGCCACTGCAGGAGAATGCCCTTTTCAAACTTGACTGGTAGATACAATTTTGGAGTAACAGGTGCGTTACCTCTTTTGAGCTCCAAGAACAATGTACCAAACTGATTACAAGAACACTAAAAGCAAAAATAAAGCCCGTTCCTTTGTAGAGACCAGTTCGGTATTTCGTAGGCGATTCACTAGTTTCACAAAGAATAAAGTTTTAACAGTAATCTGGAAAACTTTAATGTAAATAGTGTGAGCCCCGCTATACTTAAGGCATGTAACTCACCATTGCTATCACTCGTGACAACTATTAGACCAAAATTCTTGCGACTTTCCTTGGTGCTTTGCATGTAGATGTTTTGAAGTCTAGACCACTGGCTTTCAAGATGATAGGTGTCGGAGCTCAATACCGACTTGAGCATTCTTGAAGTTGTAGCTACGGCATGTCAAAACTGAGAAAGGCTGCAGGCTGAATTCACATAAAGTTTTGAGCCTTATCCGTGATTCTCGCTCGGATTCATAGTTGCCACCACGTCTTGAGGGATACTAGTTCTTGAGGCAGCTGTGCTGACATATTGAATTGTTGCATTTCTGTCATGATCTAGTTATCGACATAGAGGAAGAAAAATGAGTATTTCTTTAAATGAGATAAACCCCAGCAACCAAGACGAAACAACTCTTGTTTACTTTTGTTTCAATATAGAATAGGACTGCAAATGAAATCGTATTACAATCTGACATCGCAATATTGGTGCTGCTTTCTCGCAATATAGTACGTCGTTGCCATAACGATTCTGGTGTTTTAAAGGGAATTTCTGGGTTCAGGTACCATAGTCCAATACGTGCATGGTGTTCGTGGTACTATATTGGTCATGGCAGGGTTGCAGCCTCTGTGAAAGCAGTACTTTAGAAAAGAGATAAGCTTTAGTTGTCTTGAGGGGGCCGTGGTTGCAAGCTACATCTGCTATTCTGTCATCTCTCATAAAAGATCTCAAGCATTCCAAAAAGGCAGTGTACCAGTCTAGATTGATGGAGGCGTCCCTTGCGACCTTGTGTCTGTTGCATCTTGGATGGGTGCCCTTTTCCTTGCGAGAACCGTGAGCAGGCTTGCCTTTCTGTGACGTGCTCTGTTTACATAACCATCTCAACACCCAACTCTTGATCTCATCATAATTGTCATGTTGCTCTGTTTTTGTTCTCTTCATTGCCCCCATCACCTCTTCTTCCAACTGTCAATCCCCCCATACCCAACCACCCCTCTCCGTCCAGACCTTAGCGACTGGGAGGAGTTTGAGCTTGAGTTGGCGGACACGGACGCTGCCCCCGCCGCTTCCATTGCGAAACCGGCATCCCACTCTGCCTCTGAGGTAAAATGAATGACGGGCTAGGCACATTTAAAAGTCAAGCACTGCACGGTGCATTGTGTATCGTGACGCAGCAGTGTCCCATATTCTGAGAATACCAATACTTGGCTTTCCAGCTTTTGTCGCGAAACTTCAGAAAATATGCAGATGTGATACAGATTTCATTTCTCAGAGCACATATTTATTTTCTGCAAGGTGGAGTCAATTGATCCCTGGCTTCATGTAACGTGCCAGGACTTAGGCTGTGTAGCATTCTTCCGAACCCTCCATCTGCTGCACCCCCGGGAAGTCGATAGACGTCACGAACATTGCATCATGTGCCATACAGTTCGGAAACAAAAGCTGTGTGTCGGACCCAGTACCTCTGCCAGTTTGTCAGGAGCTACAGAAAGTATTATGAAATGATACGAAATGCTGTGTCAAAAAAAAAAAAAAAACATTAGGCGAGGATGGCAAAAGAACTTACCATAACTAAGTGCTGAATTCTAAACAATTCATTCCTTTCTTTTTCTGTGAACTGGCTCACGCTTGCCACACCTGCTGACCTGGCGACAGTATGAACGAACTGTTACCGAAGCTGCCACCAAACAGCCGAGCTCGAGCTGCATGCAAGGCTTACACTGCAACAGTCTTCCTTCTTGCTTATCAAATAGCAACCACCACAACTCGTCCACTCTCATGTTGCATGCGATACCTAAGTTAGTGCTCTGCATATCTGCCGCATCGTTATAGGATTCCTTATGTGCCATCAGCTGTGGCGTGGTTTCTCGTGGGCGTTTCTTTCAGAGTGGCATTGGAGAGCTTGCGATACAATATGAACGATATCATTGAGCGCCACATTCTCGCAAGCAAAATGTACAAATTTCTAGTTCCCATTGATGTTTATGTGCATCTTTTACTTCACAGCCATGCTAGTACTGACATGTTTTGTTACGAAGGCACCAAATTGTGGTGTCGGCCTGTAGACCGTTATGCTGAAATCTGTTTTGACATCTGTGGGAGTACCTTAGTAGCTGAGAGGTCCAGCGCAAATGTCAAAGGAGGAGTGCGTCTAAACAAAAAAAGACCTGTTCACTTACTTATGAGATAGAAAACAGCATTTCATATTGGAACTCGCTAGCTAGGTTCCTGTTAAGGTGTCATTAAATTTATCACCTGTTGTTAGCAGTACCAGATGTTGGAGCATGCTAGGTATTGAAAACTCAATTTCGGAGTCACACGCAGCAGCCATTATTAAAAAAAAAATGATAGGGATGTGCTGTTTCCATACTCGTTGGATTCCGTTTTAATTCCATCCTCTCATAAATTTTGCCATGACACAGCTCCCACTGCTGCTTCCAAATTTCACCTTCTTATCTCAAAATCTAACCTTTGCTGTGCTGAAGGTGCCAAACTCTCTTGCAGGCACTGGGAGCTCTATCATCACTGTCACCCTGCTCTTTCAGTTAACAGTTTAGTGGTAATACCCATTGGTCTCTTACATCAGTGTCTCTCATAAAAGGGTTCAACTGTGTAAGCATTTCCAACTACAGTTCGAATGGCTTTCGTTAGCCAATAGAGATCCAGGCTCTAAGAGTTTCAAGGATGTTACCGAGAACTCTTCAGGCACTTAACCAAGTAGAGCTTGCCGAAAGACCTGCAATACCTTTATAATTCAGTTCCCAATGCCGCTGTTGCCTTACATGCAGGATGGCCGAGTACATTTATAAGGAGTCTTCATTGTGCTAATGTGGCCGAGTCTCTGAAATTGTGCAGTGTCGCCGATGCCACGTGAAGAAAGGATTTCTTCTGCTGTTCTGTTTGTTTTTGGCAGGCTGACGATGACTGGGAAAAGTGGGAATGACTGAGAGTGCAGAGTGTTCAAGCAGAGACTCGGAAGACGAGATGCAAACGCCCGGAAATGTACACACACGCGCGTCTACCCAGGAGGCTCGGTTATTTAATGCAAAGTTGACGTGAAGAGTGCAAGGAGAGCGGATGGGAGCGTCGAAGAAAGAAAAAAATTGTACCATATCTTCACCGACTGTCTGCCAGCCAGTATTGTTTGCTAGTGGCGTGGCATATCTTTTTCTTCGTCTTTTATCACCAAAAGGAGAGCGACTGGGGTGGGGTGGGAGAGTTGAGGTTGACGGGTACGAGGCATGATGTGTGCTTTTTTTTTTTTTTGCTCATACCTCCAGAAACTGGGGTGGAAGGGAGTAAATAAAAAAATCTTTGCAATGTTTAAATAAAGTTGAACTTCCGAAAAACTTTTTGCAGTTTGACTTCCTTTAGTGACTATGCAACACGTTTCCAAGTAATCAAATGATCTCACTTTTGGAGTGTACATATAGCATAGTGCATGTACAGCTGCAGAAATTTTTTGAATCTTTTCTTTTTAAATTTTTTGAAAACAAGAAGAGTTGCATGGGTTTTGTAGCGTTAGCTACGCTGGCCGAGCAAAAGTGGTTTCCCGTGCACAAGCGAAAGCCTTGTGGAGAAGTGACTGCACACGCCTCAATGATCTGTGCATTCCAGAGAAGTGACATCATAGCCGCATTACGGTCGTACCCTGTGGCTCGTGCACCTCGCGCACGCTGCTCTCTTTCGTCATGCCTGTCCCGCTGGTACACACATAGAGCGGGCCATTTGATATTTTGGTATAGCCATGTAGAAGGAGAGCAAAGTTGCTGTGCAGAAGAGTTGAGAAGCTCACCTCGTCAATCATGAAGTACTTGCCTGGCATTTAGCAGTTGGGCATAGGAAAAACGAACAGAAGAAAGCCTAACGTGCTGCGGAGACACCAGAGCAAAGGGAGAAATGTCTAGCTAAGTGGCGTCGCCAAGGGGCCGATTGACGGACTATGCGGTGAAACTTAGCGAAAGCGCCAGTGCGACGCGGACCTTCGAGACGGACTTTCTAATCAGTCTATTTGAGATGTGTGCAACGTGTGTTGTGGCACATGAAAGACTTGACGTCGGTAATTAGTGCCATGCTTGTAATGGAGTTTAGCAGCGCCCCTTTAGCTCATGCTACACATATCCTGGCATAGCCTAGCCATGCCACTGCTAGATTTTTTTTTTCTCATGAATAGTTTTACCTCTTTTTTTTTTTGTCCCAATGAGTGTGCCAAAAGCTACACTAGGTGTGATAAACGGACGAGGAGCTACGTCAGCACTAGACTTGTTGAATCGTAAATTTTAGGCTCGAAGAGAACATTGATTTGGTTCGAATAATTTCTAATCAAATATAGATAGTATGTTAGTTTTAACACGATAGCGTTAGAGAGCTCGTGACGCCAAGATTCCGCCATTGGCGTCAGCACTGTTGGTTGTAAGAAAAAAATCATCTGTGAGCGAAAAATCGAAAAAGAAGCAAATAAAAGAATAAAGTTTTCAGTCCCATTGAGGATCGAAACCGCGCCATTCGTTTTGCAAGCAGGTGTCCTTTCATAAAGCCACGATGTAAACTTGCAGCTGCTTCGGGAAAAAACACTACATAAATGCCATGTAGTGGAAGGAGTCTCCTTAACGCATATTTTTCTACAGGTGTCGCGATGAAAACAAGCCCGTTCGGCGATTTGTAGGCGCATTTGGGAGGCCATCAAACTACTTCGAAAAAGGCCAGGATAGCGCAGCCATCGCCGCTAAATACACACAAGAACTTTCAAACAGCTCTAAAAATGAACAACTGTGTCCATCTAGAGGAAAACATATCATGCCTTTCCAGAGGCATTGATCATGCAAACAGCAAACGCTAGATAATGTGCTGCCATATGTGAGGCATTGTGAGACTCTTTGTGCTCCTTCAAGGAAATGCCATTTCAACAAACCACAACACTTGGATAGATTTAGCTTTTCATTCTTGCAACACCATCAAATAAGTACTGCAGTTGCCATTTCACTGACCGTAAGGCGATGCTTGTTGTGATTGGTCGGAAGAGGTCTCCAGAAAAACAAGTCGAATAATTGCCAGATAACTAACGCAAGACGCACGACTGAATGTGACCATTTACGAATACAAGTGTCACGCCTAAGCGTAGTTCATAATAGAGGACCATGTGACTATATCACTGTAAAATATTTTTATGAAGTTGTTATAAAGTTGCTGTTAAATAGATCGAAAACCTGTACCATTATTATATTTATGATGCGCTTGTGCACGCACATGTTTGTGTGAGTGTAACAAAACATATTAATAAGTATGCACTGAGTGGTTGAAGGGCACACTAGGGACTGGATTACGCTATCGCATTCAACTCTTAAAGGCAAAGCTTTAAGAGTTTAAAAGGTCCCCCGATTTTTCGTATCGCACATTATAAAGAAAAATCAGCATAATTTTCATAACCTAACCAATCTGTGCTATATACATAAATTTTTACTTGAAACAAGGTGTGTGCAAATGTTAATTTTATTTTTGGGCCAAAGGAACAGGAAAAAACGTTGAATAGTGGCAAGATATGACTTTCGGTAGAGTGCATGTGATAACCTGCAAAATATGTTGCCTTTTATTAGAGCATATAAGCAAGCATAACAAGCTTTTAAATTTAAAATAAGAATCGATGCAAAGTAGGGCTTCGCGGCTGTGTATTTTTTCTACATACGTGTATTCACGGTATAGCACTTCTTCATTGCAGTGAAGCCACTTATACAGCGGTTACATGCGGATATCGTTTAACTGTTCGTTCATTTTGAATACTTTGAAATTTCCTATGATGTACGTTGGAATCAAAGCCAAGTTAAATGCATTAATATCTGTATTCAAAGTGTTTGATTATTCGCACAAGCCTAGTCGGTACGCATCTTGGGCTTGAGCATCAAGCACTTTAGTGGTCTGGCTTGTCATTCGTCGATCTCGTGTGGCTTTATCACGCTCACAGTAAAGTGCTCAATATAAAGCATAAAAGGGCTAACGAGGTCCAGAATGATATTGCAATTAATATATACAGCGTGAAGTAATTTGTTTTAATTTACATACAATTGATAAAATGTTTTGTAAACAAGGGGCCGACCTTAGCAGAGTGCAAGAGAGGGTGTTTCGCAGAGTGTGGGGACGGGAATAGGTGGGTGCCCGTGCAACGCATTTCCTCAGGTTTACCAGTAATGGAGCTGCCATACATTTTTTTTTTTCTTTGAACACGTCAGCTCTCCTTTAGTGGCATCATAAGCACAGTAGTGCAATTCTGTAATGTAGCGCTATATAGCACAGCCTGGACACTCGGCAGCAGCCTGTGGAGGCTGCAGTAACAGTGAAGTACCAAATACTCGAATCGACCAAAAGCCATAGGTCCTTGCAAGTGGCACAATCAGGCCAGTTTGTCATGAAATTTGCCGAGAGAGCGATTTGGAGTCGTCTTAGAAGCTTAATTGTAAATTTGTTGCTGCGTGCGATTCAATGATATTTGCTTTGCATGTTTTTGGGTGCCTCGACTACCACTTGGCATTTTCCCATCATGTTGAAAAGTGTTACAGGACCCCTTCGGTGATGTTCATGTGGACTCCCGTTAAAATAGTTTCATCTTGTACGAAGATACTTCTTTTTGTCGGACATGTAACGAGCTTTACAAATATACGCTTAGCGCATTTTGGTATCTACAATAGACAACCGGCAGTTAAATGCATTACATTTATGTTCTCAAGGTTCAGCTGTTCTTATCGGTCATTCATAAAAAAGTGTCAGCTTCAGAAACTGCAAAAGATACCACACTCTGCAACAAACCTAAATTTACCCGGAGTGTTTAACAACGTAACAAGCGTGAACTTGCTGACAATGCCTTATATTTTCAGATAACGCACACGCTACGTAAACAAAAGCTTGCGAAACATAAAACTTCTGAGAAAGCAACATTTCCACTTTGTTCAAGAACATAGCCTCTAAATAAACATTCTAGTCTACAGTAGTGCCTGTGACTTGTACAGTTACGCAATATGTTATAAATGCCATGCATTAACACAGCATAAATTAATATTTTTAGAGGAGTCAACATTTCGTGAACTTTTGGTGGCAGGTGTATATAGTACATACAGAATTCATCCATGAAGTAATGGAATAGGTCTGGTAAAATGTTTATTAATCCAGTCGGTACATATCAAAATTATTTGAAAGAATCCTTCGGCGCCGATACACCAATGTCAACGCAATTCCCACGTTTCACGGGCTCCCCGAAATCGTGCTCCCATGACCTCTTTCAGAGACTATTTGACAGCCGGGACTCTCGTCTGTCTGGTGCTGCCCTGACACTGTACCAATGCAAGCCTGATGGACTTCCTGTTCGCACAGCTCAGACAAGATCTATTTCGATGGTGGCTGTTACAATCTCTAAAAAGAGGTCGCAGCAGCCCACTCTCGAGAAGCCTTTCCTGGAGAAATATCGTCGACAGCGGTGCATCAACCAACGAGCACATTCTGAAGAATTTAAATTATATGCATTGCATGAATCAAAAATTTAATTTTGTTACACTCACACTGTCAAAGCCTCACACAGTCTCACACTGACAAAGCCTGTACATTATAAAAACCCGAGCAAGCACGCTTCACTTTTTGGGGTGACTTGAAATACGAGCCAAAGAACACGACAGTGCCCCCCCCCCCCCCCCGTTCCCGTCTGGCCACTTTCACTGGGTCCGTCTGGCCACTTTCACTAGGTCCGTCGAGAGTGAACGCAAACATTTATTGAATGAATATTCAATCAAGCATTTCGTGAGAAGCACAAGTGTGCATTCTTTATTCTAAGCAGCTCTTTGGCCACCATTTGGAATTTTGATCAGCGACCGAGCGAAGCCCCCCTCCCCCCTCCAAATCTTTTCGGACCTTTCAGTATAGGGGGTGCACTTGCTCAGAATTTTACAGTGTATGCATATTATGACACCTTGGGTTCATTGCATAAGTCTGTAAACTAGCTCATCTGTCGACTCAATCCCGGAAGCCGCAAGTCTGAGTGAGTCCGGTTGAAGGAAATTTTCGCGACTGTGAGTACGAGTGAGTTTATCCCAGGAAAATTAAGCGAGTCTGAGTCCGAAGCCCAAAATATAATACTCTAGTGAGTCTGAGTGAGCTCCACAGGTTTTGCCCACCTATGGTTATTGTATACAGACAAGGAAGAAAAATAACTAAACTTATGTCTATATTTTGGTCGGCTCCCGAGTCGCAACGAGCACACACTGTAATATGTTAAATGTATTTTTCACTGCCCATAAGCTGTGTGACCTTACAATACGGTGATTTGCTCCTGGCACAAAAGAGACGACACTTGTCTGAAGATTCTGCATAG